TATATGCGATGATTTGTTGTCTATACATTTCATTTTATACTTTCAATACATAGACTAACAACAATATTATGTTACTTTACTGTTGCTAAGCGACATGACATAAAAGCTATTGTTGAAAAGTAGTGTTACCAAAACGCACTGACTTTTCAAAATATTAGAGGTTGTTACTCTAACTGATTTTTACCAATAAAAATTCTATAAATACGCCACGAATTCATTTCATGAATTATTTTATTTTTGATTGGCTCACAAAGGAATTTACCGACATTTAACTACCTCTACTGCACTTTTCTACCTCTTTGTTGGTCAAGCTTGATTTCGCAAAATTTATTTATTTCAGTTAGCTATCAAATGTGAGGTTAGAGTATACTATGGGGTGGGGGTGGCATGTAGTACTTTCCCTCATCATTTTCGACGGGCTATACGCTAGTCATGATATATTCTTCCTTACTTTCACTCTTTGAGTTCTTTGAATCCTTGGAATGAGTAATGATATCAATCCCGAGGGGCGTGACAGAGAAACGGGGCCACGCCCATTGAAAGAATCACTGTAGTACGTAACCATTGTCTAATTATAATGTGAACTTCTAAGTGAAAGTAAATAAAAGTGTATAATGATATGTCAACCACACTATAACTGCTACATCCAGTGCCAAACAGACCTTTCGCCCAATACCAAGACTCTTAAAACTAACTGGGATACGATAGGTAAGGTAGAAGATAAATTCATGTTTATGACCTCTGAAAAAGTTACCTGAAAAACCTAAATGGCTAGATATATTTCTCACTAGTTATGAAAGGGAAAACATGTTTGTTGAATTTAGTTGTCTTTGCTCGTATAGCAGCATTTTATCCTACACTTTCTTATATATATATATTTATAGAGTAACCTTGCTTCGTTTCGTTTTCCTCACATAACTGTTCACTGTGGGTGTGATAGATATTTACTAAGCTTGGCAAACCTAACAACTGAATCACGCTTGCATTGCCACTCTTCAGTGGCCATTCTGTTGAGACGCTTCATCTTAGGATTGGTCCCGTTAAAATAATCAAGACCAAAACTGCACTTATTGCATTACTGTTATTTCATCTGCAAAAGAGGCTAAAAAGTAATTAGTATTACAATAACGTACAATACTTTTAATTATGACATCTTCTAAACAATGCTAATCTACTGAATGTCAGTTACACACATCTCAAAAACTACTCTTGGATATATTTAACCTGTAAACAATGAAGATTTTCTTATCTGAAAAGAATTATTAAAACTTCTTCATCAGTTCTCATACACTACAGTTCCTCTCCTGGTACAGGTAAGAACACCTGTCAATGCACGCATCTTCCTTTAAATATTATTATTATTATCTTTGTATATACACAGCTAAAAGAGGACCCAAGCATACGGGACACTCACCTTATGAAGAGTTGCCTGAGAGTGTGTCAGAGTTTGTGGAAGTGTTTGTGGAAGTGTTGTGGAAATGGTGAAGCTCTTGG